TCCGAACAAAAGCTTGCTTAATATCGACCTAAACACATTATTACACATGATAATTCGATTAGCTTCGCTATGTTTGTTGATACTAAATCGTATTAACTCGTTTTGTTCAGAAATTGGACAATTATAAGCTAAAGTTGTAAAAAAGATACCTGAAATGTATGAGGAGAATCAGTTATGATAATAAAATGGTTCTTATGAGAAAGTCCTTGTTAGTTAAACAAAAATTTACAAGATTTAATAATATGCATAATGAATGCCTTCATTCTTGGTGGACATGCACGGCAATTCCTTACTTGATGATACGATCTTTAATGGTTGCAGGAAGTTGTAGGAAGTAGATCAGTAGGAATGAATTTCAATAACATACATACGAACATAGGAATGTAGAAAATACCTGGGACTGATTTAAATAACAACGAATATTTTAAGAAAATTAGTGATGAAGTAAATAAATACTTGATTACATTGGTATCAAGGGAGAGACCTATTTCAAATTGTTCCGTTCACTTAATTGGACAATCGAGCTCAGTATACGATCTCCTGTTTAAGCTGAGAGCAATGAGTGTTTTACCGTTCCTGATATTGTTGATAAACCATTTTTGATCTAAAAGATAACTGCAGGTAAAAGTGAAAGATGAATATCCCCATATTTTTTGGACACTACTAGACTCCAAAAACCTTGTTTCTGTTATAATAACTGAGAGTCATAATAAGAAAATGTACGTTCTCCAAATACATAGATAGCACAGTGTTAATATCTAATGATTATACTTTTAATTGAGCAACAGAAAATCTTCATCATCTGATCAACCTAAAATATCGATAGCTGACGATGTTTGTAGTACCAAATAATGCAGGTATTTATTTGGTATGCATTTGCAAGCCGATTTTTGCGACATAATCCAAATCAGACAAAATCTTGAAATGACTGAGAGATGTGTTTAAAGTAACAAAACTAAAAACCGAATTTATAATCCTTCAAATCAACTTCTTTATTACCAACCACTTGTTAATAAAAGCAATTTAAAAATAAATGCAATTCTTATTAAGAGGAAGAGGAAATGGAGGTATATTGTTTTCTGAAAATTTTCAAATACGATTAATATTGATCTTTTCCTGTACTTGGCAGTTTATTATTCTTAGTAGCTGAAATACTTATTTCAAAGTTTCTGTAGTAACATTCGCAGAAATAAGCATATCTGCAATCATGAAGTCAGTACTTTCTTTTCTCCAAGAGATTTCATAATTTATTCCTGATGTAGTCATAATTTGTTATCATAATGTGATTTTTACAATGAAGATGATTTAATTTCTTCGACTGTAATATCTTAACAGTAACTGATACAAGTTAAGCTAAGTATGTATTTGCTATTATGTTAGTAGATATGATAAATATAGGTTTGTTTCAGAGCAACATGACACAATTCAGTTAGTTCGTTTTATATTTGTAAAGACATACAAGTAAAGTTTAATCAACTCTTCAAAAGTACCTTCATACTGCAGTTTACTTCTAAATCATGAACTCCGCAGAAAATTATTGCTGTTAAAGTAGGTACCAAAATATCTCAAGTTTTAAATAAACATTTTTAAAATTTTAAATAATTTTTCTTGAGTTGATTAACTGAATTATCTACGTATAATGAAAGATTTTGCTGCTTCTGGACTTTGGGTATGATTGACGGATATTGAATATCTATAGAAGAGTCGGGGGACACAAGACACGATAAAGGCAGAAAGCACCTTTTAAACGTGTAGAATACCTTATCTAGCTATGATGAATCTTTTTTAAGTCAGCAGTATAGAAAATTGCTTCTTAATGAAGTTTCGCTCAAGTCATGTTACATCTATGATTTGCTTTCTTACCGGGGTTTTCTATAATTTGAACCAATTGAGGTTTTGTAAGTTCTAAGGTCTATAATTATCAGTTGCTCATTTTCGGTGATAACCATTATGTATTGTCATTAAAAACTGCTGTTACTCGCTTAGCGTTAATTTATGATTTTGTATAATAGATCGTTGGATGAGTGTATTCCTAGAACTATCTGTTTTCAAATCTGGCAGCCAAAGGTCTATTTGGAATTATAGGCCTATTTCTTTGCTTCCCTTTTTATGGCACTGTTTTTGAAGCCCTTTTTCTTTATTGTTAAAAATAACCCCTACGACACGTTTCTTCAGTTTCACATTCTTTCAATGATTGATTATGTATCTGACTTCAGCAAGACACATAACAAAGTACTTACACACCTATCGAACTGATTAACTTGCCATATAGTATTAGTCAGTAGCTGATTTTCAATGTCACTCATAGCGGTAGAGTTAGTCAAAGATTTTTGTTCATAGATGGTGCCTGTTACGTCCAGGATCCCTCTGAGATGTAACCTAGGCCCTTTATTATTCAATATTTTCATTTAAGATATATCTTTCTGTTTTAGACATTCTAATACTTTGAATCCTTTTTGAGAAAGATCTTATGCAGAAAGTCACTTTAATTAACGTCTCTATCCTTAATTAAAGTGACTTTCTGCATATCGCTTCAGCAAGTCATTTTGTATGTTCAGCATTGTAGTGAGGATAGCTGCTGGTTTTACTGATTTAATTTCTTAAAGATCATCATTGTAATTTTTCTAAATTTATATTTTTTTGTGGAAATTAATTTAAGTTGGTATTGCTTGAATGGTTAGCTCATCAGCGGTCCATCCATTTAAATTGAATAAGTTAGCGAAACTTTAAGGGGTTAGAGATAATGTAGGTTAGGGAAATCTTCAAGGTTGTCTTACAGAAGTCTCAAGCTGTTGGATGGTTGTTAGTAGGAGCTTGTTAGAGATTCGTAATTGCCAATAACATCCTGTTAATACTTCTGTTGAGTTGCTTCGTTTCTCGTTTTGTAAACCGAGATCTTTAAAGAGTTTAATAGGAGCCTTAATTCATTAAAGCACTCGAGGAACTGTTGGGTATTCCGATTAGCACTGCTTCAGCTACAGAATAACACTTATTTGTGTTACAGACACAAGATATTAAGAAGGGCTAAAGGGTTGCTTTTTTTCTTCGAAGTGTCTGTGGTGGGAACAATGATAGAAAGAGATTCTGCTGTTATCTGTGACTTCTTTGGTATTCCAGATTCCTTTGTCTTTGCATTTTCTCTGGGTGTTTACATACAGGATGTTACATAAGTATGAAAGATAGCTAGTAAATACGCCATTTGTGATTTAAATGAAAAAATGTTTCAAATAAAAGTTTCCTGGTTAATTATGGCGCATATTTTAGCTATATTTGTTTGTTTGTATTATCCTTGCTATGGTAACCAACATTGTTATCTTAAATGGGATACATAGGTTTTTTTTGCATATTTTGGTAGATCGTATTTCATTCTATTCGATGGATATATCACATCATCAGGTAAGGTATAAGTAAAATTCAATCTTCTGAAAATATTTAATCAGCGAATTAGAATCAAAGAAGGAACTTTGAATTGTCGAAATTCTGGTGGGAAGTAGTTCTTAAGGCTTATGCTACAACACGAAAAAGTCGAGGGGGGTTCAAATCAGGCAAGTAGAAGAGGCCACTCCGTAGAAGTGATCCCGGCAGAAAACTTGGTCCGGTACCACTGCTGAACCACCTTAGTTTTATGCGCGGGTACTGAGTCCTGTTGGAATGTCCAGGGGCGTCCGTTGAAGTGAGACTGGCTCCAAGGAAGCACTTTCTTCATCAAAATCTCATCAAGTTGGTTTAATTCTGGGAGTTGATCTTGCTACTCGATGCTACCTGTCTTCCGATAATAAGGGGTTGTGCATTAGATGTCACTACGGAAAATTCCGGTGATATTTCCGATGTCCTTCTGAGTTACTTTAGCCTGGCTTAGCTTCAAAATTGTGGCACTGTCTACGATTGCCTGAAAACGCACAAAGCAATCGTTTGGATTTTTTGAAGAGCCTTCAGTAACAAGAAGACAAACATGCGGGCAACATTTCACATTTATACAACAAAAACGAACAATGTTACAACATCGCTAAGTTAGGCTCTCGAAGTTTTGTAACATCCTTTAGCATCTTAAACTTTGATATTTCAGAAATACTTTTGAACGTGGTATTTCTGTTGCAGATTGATGTAGGGTTGGATCATTAAAATAGGTGGACATTATTTGATCCAGATTCGATAGTCGTTAAGTAGGGTAGTTAGTATGGCCAGTGACACCAGTTCGCACTCAGATTCTTTGTTGCATATAGCAGCGATGATTTTCTCTTCTACTTTATCTTACTGTGTTTCTGTGCAAATTAAAAGTTATTTTTCTGCTTAATGTTCACTTCTTGCAATCTTCTTGTTTCTCGTTAGTTGTTTTTGTAGCCCGCTATGATTCTTGAGTGTTAAAGTTATGCAGCTTAATTTCAGTATTCCGTTTTTTTAGAAACGATAAGTGAAGTCTAAGTGTGGAAGTCTAAAGAAAACGTTAAATTTGATTACGTATATACTTCTACAAAATGTGTTTGGAATAGGGTTAATTTGCGGTTGATTTACTGTGAGGCTTCTTGCTTTGATTTGAGTTGTATTGAATTGCAATGTGGTAGGACTGGTTTGCTTTGAGGTTCGATTGGGTTGGGTAACCACTTACGCAATTTCGTTCGTTTTGCACAAGCTTTCCATTAAGGCAAAAATCCTATGACAGATTTAAGTTACAATGATAAAGTAATGTGAGTGCAAAATTAGGGAAGTATAAGCATAAAGAAAGCTTTTACAAAGTTTATAACTTTTTATAAAATCGAGTAAGACTAAACTAAAAGGAATTCTAATATATTATTAAAATTTCAAACTCAACATCTTAGATGGTTATACTTTGGTGATAATTATAATTTATTTTTTATCGTGAAAGCAGATTATTTATTATAACATTTAGCAGCCAAAGTGGAATATTTTTTTGTTGATTTAACTGAATTCCCGAATGATTTCAATTATAAATGAGATTAAAGTAACTTCGTTAAAGTGCAAGGTAATAATTAAACAATATATAACCCAACAAAAACTTATATTTCATTAACATAAGGACTAGTTAATACATCTTCTGATATGATAAGATAACAAAACAACAAAATAATCTTATTTTCCTATGCTGGCGACATAAACAGCCGACTTAATAACACCAGATCTTCTAGCTTCACGTTTTTCAATCAAATGATCAAGATTTTCTTCTGGAATATTATCAGCAGATCTTTTAACAAGATGGTAAGATTCCCTTGGATCAGGTTGAACCGGCGAAGCAAAAATTACGCTTAGCATTACAGCTAAAGCGAATGCAAAAAACTAAAAATTCGTTCAAAATAAGAGATATCACCAAAAATAATTTTTAATTCTTACCAAGAATTTCATTTTAAAAACTGTTACCTTCAAACTGTTAAAAACACTTTGAATATACAACCTATTTAGAACACGGTATTTATACATCCCGTTTTACCACTCCATTTTAGCACATAATTTGAAGCTACAAGTGTTAATTTAATTATTATAAAATGTTCTAACCAAATCTGCACTTACTATCAATAACGTTTTTGTTGTTTGAATATCATAAATCACAAAAATCCACCGTGATGATAGTAATTATCTCTTTAGAGTTTTTAGTACATTTTCAAAACGCGCAAAAAGTAGTTTTTTTAAAAACAAATTTGTTAAACAAATTAGCGTCTTTAATTTGAATTGAGACGACTTATTTAGCACAAAAAATAGTAATAATAAAGATATGAAGAAGTAATAAAAATCAGATTTCTCCTTCAAATGATCATCACACTTTTGCTGCTACGACTGGATTTAGTGGTGAAATAAGGAAGGCAAAAGTCGGGGTCAAGCCAAATTGCCGCCATAAACATCGAGTCACGTTCGCGATTGCTATCAAATTCCGCGATGAAACCCGCTAAATGTACGAGATTTACTCGGGTCGGACTTTGAGGAAGTGCGCTACGAACAAGAACGAAAAGGGGCAGACTAAGAACGAGGAATCAAAAAGTTTTCGAGTTAATTAGACCCTTCCGGCTCTCAATACCCCGTCGGCGGCACATGAAATTTTCAAATTAACCACCTCTCAAAAAGTTATTAAACTTTCGGCAGTTATTAGTTATGGTCATAATCACAGAATCTTCATACCGCCATTAATATTTTTATATAAATCGTTATTATATTATATACTTAAAAATAATTTAACAATGAGGTGTAAGTACCTTCAAAATGAGGTTTATTGTGTGCGTTTATGAGATATCTTACTTTCTTCCGGAAAAATACCGTTTCCTTTACTTTTACTCTCGTAAGTACCATTTTAGGTGGTAATCAAGGGAAAGTGCTGCTCCCATTGTTCGATTGTATGCGATGATTGTTTTGCGGCTTCGTAAGAATGAAAAGATGAAACTCAGATCAAAGGAGAATGAAATCCACACAATTGGATCATAAAATTATATTTTTCATTTCCTTTTTTTTTAATTGGATTCATCATCTACACAATTTCATTTATTAAATTTTTTCAATTCAACGATTAGTATTTAACTGTAAAAGTGTTCAAAATGTCGTCCTTCCATTTCGACACAAAATCTCCTTTCAATGTAAGTGCGTTTATTTGTTGGCGCAACTGTTAAAGATCGTGTGTCTGTGTTTCCTGCAATGAACTTTTTAAATAACATCAGATACTGAAGTTCAACGGATTTAAAAAATCCGGAAACCTTGGAGTACTTGCAATGAGAACCATTCGCTCTATCCATCTTCTAAGAAATTCATTATTGAAAGTTCTTTAAAAGCACACGTAAAATACGGTGGGCACCGTCTTACATAAACTAGAGATTTCAGGTATCAAATTTTAAAGAATTTTAAAGTTTTTTTTAAGCTCTGAATATACATGTATGATATACATGTAGTATTATATTGTAATTACACCAAACTTCAAATAAATAATAAGTGTATTGAATATGTAAACATGCTTTCTTAAAGTTGTTATGTAACTTTGAAAAGGTAAGCTTAATTTGTTACCCGAAACTCAACATTATCTGCATAATATGGTAATATCTTGTTAGAATCATATCTCTTGTGATGATAAGTAGGAAACGTCTTTTTTGATACCATTTTTCTATCTTATACAATGCAGTCTGATACAGCAACTCGGAGAACTAATCCTAATAACTTTGATTAATTTCGGATATGTAGGTGAGTCAATTTTTGCATAAAAAATCTCCTTCGATAATGCTTCTTATAGTGATATAGTGTTTACCCAGTCCGTATGTTGATGACCATTCTGGTTGTTCACTGCTGCACAGAATAGTTCTGTTTTTGTGGAAAACTACGTCCTAAGATTCTTGAGCCATGAATTTTTCTGTCGCCTCAAATCACGTTTCCCAGGAATCTTCTCTGCAATATGATTTGTAGTAAACCGTATCTTTCGTTCCTCATGTTGACAAAGACATTCGAGTTTGCGAGCTTTTATCGTAGTTTAATTCGGTGTCTTTATTTATTCTTGAACAGACTTCTTCATTAGATACAAATTGTTCCCTACTGTGGTATATAAAAGATTTTTCCAAGGCTACGAATCTAAATTCATACAGCGTAATTTTTTTGTCACAATATTTTTTGAATAGATTATTTATATGTTATACCACAGCAGTGTTTAGCATATAAATAGGTAGCAAGTTTATCTCGGCAAGCAATCATCGTTTTGTAATAATGAACGACGACTACTGAATTTGCTATTTCTTTTCGAATTCGTCTGTCGCCATTTTATTTAAAGTATTGAGATATACCAGTTATAAAATATTTTGGAGGACCTTTTCTATCTTTTCGAAGAGTATTAGTACAGATTTCAGTTGTAGTAAACTATACAGGGTCATCCACGGTGACCGTCCATTAGAACTATATCGAGAATCAAATGAAGTGGGGGTATGAAAATTTGCGGACTTATGATGTTTGATGTGAGCTTTTTAATTAAAATATTTTCAGGTTCCGGGTACTTGTGGTTATACCGGAAGTGGTGACAACTTTCATATTTCAAATGGTGTTCAAATGTGATGATCGTTTATTTTTTATCAAAACACAATTTTTAAATATATAACAGAATATTTCGGGTAGCATGTCAAACAGAAATTCTTTAATACAAAAATCTGTCTTAACACTTTATGTTTATTTACTATTATTATTTCTTTTATTTTCTGTTTTCATGACTTCTTTAATTTTTTGATATTAACGCCACCTCTTGATACTATCATAAGTATGATATTATTACATTTATTACAACTTCCCTATATTCAAAATTGGAAAATTTACAAAGTGAGTATTGAAAATTTTACAATTCAACGTTTAATTTAAAATTATCGTTTTACAACAATTTAATGAATTTTGAATTTTTATCAAATAAATTTTATCGGTGACTCTTTTTGTTTTAATTAATACTAAGTCACTTATGTCGAAATTGATCTTCTTTCTGTTCTTTTTTTCCTGTTATCTCTTTCGATACTGTGCTTTTTTAATTAGTCTTTCTTTTACTTTTTCTAATCTTATTTCTAAATTTTCTATTTCTTCATTTTTCCAAATTCGGGGAGGGAATATTTTAGTCATTAAGAATGATGGACTCTCTTGATGGGTAGTGTTCGGAGTATTATTTAACAATTTTTCTATTATTATGACTTTTTTATCCAAATGTGATGATTTTCACTTAACAATATTCTTAAATACTTCATCGTCTGTTTTATTTATCTCTCTCTTGCATCTAGACAAATTCTTAAACTACCATCAGATTTTTTAACAATTACAATCGGACTTATTATAAAATAGGAATTTGATCTTTCGATAATTTGTTAATCTATTAATTTATTTATCTCTTCGTTAACTTGTTCTTGGAAATGAAAAGGTATAGGATAATTTTTACAATTTAAAGGTGAATTATCTTCTACTTGTATTTTATGGGTATAATTTTTAGCAAATGTTATTTTATTATTAAATGTTATCGAATTATCCAATAAAATTTCCTTCAATCTCTCTTTACTCTCTTTCTTTATCTGAATTTTCTTTACCAATTCTTCTCTATACTTACCATTCCTTATTTCCCCGTCAATAATTATATTTTCTTTTTTATTTTAGTAAATATTTTATTATTTTTATTTTCATTATTTATATTTACATAATTTATTTCTTCCCCATATTCATCATATTTATTTTCTTCATAAATATTTTTATAATGATTTCCCCTTTATTTATATTATTAATTCTTTTTACATTTTCGTTATTCGTTTTCCTTTCAAAATGCTAATTCTTTTTGTTTCTTAACACTTTCTTTACCTTCTTTTTTATTCTCACTTATTAAAAGACAATATATTGTCATTGTGTATATATGTTTCGAATTTTATACAATTTTTACCAATTCTCAATTCATCTTTTTCAAAATCTGAGATCATTTCATGTTTTCGGATGTTGTCAATTCCTATCAAATACTCATATGTTATGTTCTCGAAAAGATAAAATTCCATTAAACAAGTTTCATTATTAATTTCGGTTACTGAATATAATTTTTTACTCACTTGTCCTATTTTCTTCCGATTGGTTGCAAATATATCTAATTTCTGTGTTTTCAAGATAATTTTCTAAGTTATCGATTCTTTTTGTTATCTCGGTATTAATTATTGATATTTCAGCAGCTGTATCTATTATTGCGATATTTTGAACTTTAATAATAATAATTTGATATAATTATATTGTATTAAATTAGTTTCTTCATTAAAATTGAAGAAATGAGGGTTATCGTAAAATTTGGTATTAATTTTGAAGTGATTCATTTTATCTAAGTTTTTTACCATTGGTCTTCTATTGGTACAGTCACCGTTTTTTTTACATCATCCACATTTTGGTTATACTGTCGATTCTCATTCCTTCTTGAATTTCCCGTCTCATTGATGGATTACTATGAAGATTGAATTTAGTTCTATCTATAAGTCACGTGATTCATATATGAATTTTCTCGTTCTGGGGGATTTCCTCGATTCTATGGTACAAAATTAAATTACGTGGTGGTCCTCTGTTTTGATAGTCATTATTTTGGAACCTTGGTTGAGAATTTCTATATCCATAATTATCGTGTCCATTTCTATTTCGAGAGTAATTATCTATAGCGTATCATATCTATTATTACTACCGTAGTTTTTATCATTATTATCATATTTCGTATAGTTATTGTAATTGTAGTTTCTTTGATTTTGCTCTGGTTTTTTATCGTAGTTGTAGTTATAGTTTAGTTTGGTATGTCCGTAGTTTATATTTTCATAATTTTGATAATTTAAATTTCTTTCTTTTCTTTGGTTTTCCTTAAAATCGTCTAACCTTCTTAAAATCTACATTAATTCATTCATGCTGGAAATATTTTGATAAACAAGTGCTATGTTATCTGCATTGACAAAATGTTTGATTAAAA